GAGATTTGGGCGCTTGGAACTCGTTGGTGGAAATGAATGAAGCGTAACTGTGAACGAGGCTCATTGGTGTGAATAAAGGAACTGTTTGTGTGTGCAATGTTATGGGATTCTATGGGTGTGTGGGTATCATGTCTGAATCGTGAATGTAACTCTACTATAAAACTGCTCGATCCGGAGCTGCTGAACCCTGAACCCTGAACCCTAAACCCTGAACCCTGAACCCTGAACCCTAAACCCTGAACCCTAAAGCCCCTGGAGCCGTAGGAATCCGGAGTTCCTGGACTTCTGCCGCAGTGCCAACATATCTGTGGAGGACGGATTGGCCTCGGGCCCCCCGGGGGGTGAACTACAGGGTTCTGGAGCATCCCCTACGATCTCCATACTGCAATGTAGCGTAACATCATGCCCCACCAGCCTACTCTCGTGTTTAGGTTTTTGTTTCGGCTTTCCGTGTTTAGAGGTTTAAAATTAGCGCGTGGAAAGATTGAATCAGGTGTGCCATCTTGAAGGGCCGCCCTGATGTTCTGAGAATCCGAAGTGTCGGGATATGTTCAGATATCTTACCCTGCCTATGGGCTGGACATAGTTTGGTGAGTTCAGCAAAGCTTTGCAGGTAGCATCCAGAAAGCCTCAACCCTAAACCGTATAGAAATCTAAACCCTGAAGTCCTAAAGCCTTATAACCCCCCATAACCTCAGCACTCTACCATAAACGCCGGAAGAAGCTCTAGAAGAGCCTGGAGCTCTGAAGCCCGAATCCCTAGAACCCTAAACCGAACACAGGACTCCATGCCCAACGGTGTGCGGCCGCCAGAACCTTCGGCGCCGCCGACGAGCAAAAACAAGCGCTGGGCGCTTGGAGGTGTAAGCAGAGGATGTCAGGGAAATTATTGCATGTCAACTGACATACATCCCTGGAAACGGCTTATGCAGACGTCTATGGCAAACCCATAACCCTACTAGTAGTAGGTAGACTTGGAGTGTGTGGCAATCCAATCGGTTTGGAGTGGCTTTGTGACAGTTGCCGCTGAAGCGGGGCCAAGCTACTGCAGTCTGCGGTTTTCCCGCCGAGGAAGAAGCAAGAAGCGCGAGTACACTCAAGAGGCAGGGAGTTGGGGGAGCTGTTTTGGGCAGAGCTCCGGCATGGAACACCCGCACCCCTGCATCGTTAAACTCAAGCTTGCCAAATAGTTCGACTGTTCGACTCCCAGGAGTGGGACGAGTGGACTGCGCAGAGTCAGAAGAAGCCCAAGGGGAACACCAACGGCCATGCCAATCAGGCCGGTCGCTCCGGGGCTGGGGCTTCGGAGGGTGTCGTTGTGGATCCGTAGACATCCCCAAAACCTCAAAGCCTGGATAGGTAAAGGTAACATATGTGGTAACATAAGGTTATTATTCTGCTTTCTGAATTGTGCATCTTAGACCAGTAAGTTCCTGAGCCGTGTGGCCAAAGAGCAAACACTCGCGTGAGCTGTGCTTCTAGGGCCGGTTTTGGATGGTTTTGGGTTTAGGAGGTTGGGGTTGTCTTGAGAAGAAGCGGATGCCAGGATGAGTTGGTTGGTTATCTACTTTGGCAACTTTGGAGGATCAGAGGACTACTTAAGTGCGGGCATGAATACAGCAGTTGGAGACATACAGTACTCCATTCTCGCTTAGTCAGCTACCAAGTCCGGGGATGCAGGCATCTTCTTAGCTTAATCCGACCCCAGCAGTGACCAGGACTGGAATGACCAGAACTGGAATGACCAGAAGTGGAATGACAAGAACTGGAAGGACCAGGACTGGAAGGATCAGGAGTGGAAAGACACAGGCAACGCAGAGACGCAGGACCGGACCAAGCAGTTTTCTAGAAAAAGAGGCTATGTCAGAGCCCGGAGTTGGGGTTTTCCTGCCGGTGCAGCAAGACTCTGAGCCTTTTTTTCACTATTGCCCGGATAACACCCCCAAACATAAACCCCTTTTCAACATAAACCCACGCCGAAGGCTCTATTGAGGCCTTGTGTACTTTGAGGACTGTGGTATCAGAGACTATACTGTGTAAGCTGCTGGAAATCCAGACTCTTAGCGGTAATCACCTCGTTGTGAAGATCAAACATTCACCGGCTGCCTTCAGGACGATGGCTCGCTTTATGATCCGGAGAAGGCCGACGCAGGGAGGGCACGGTTGTATCAAAGACCCGAGAGCTCAACAATTCAACCTTGCGAGGCTAGCTAAAGGGCGCTAAAGCCGCCAGCACGAGCCCCATACGCCCCGAAACCCTTGCACCCGAGATTCCATCAAACCTAAACCGAAGCCTTGCTGTCAGAAATTTCGTGTTCGCAGCATTGAGTGGAGGAGCCGCAAATGGCCCCACCTGTTGGCGTGGAGGAGGCCGCGTCTTGTGGTCTCACCGTCTGACCTCTGAAATTTGTATTTATTAATTGATGAGATTCCTTTTTCTTGGAGTCCCTATGCGAATGCAGTCCAGAATACCTCATACACTTTTTCGCTACCATCTTATTCTTGATTGAACAAAGCACCCTTGCGTCCCACAGCCGAAGGAAGGGAAGCTTATTTCATTGATTGAAGGCAAGGGCTGTAGAGTTCGGAGGCTGAGCACCGCAGACTCTTGGGGGATGACCAGGTAGGCCTTGGGCAAGCACTGTCTTCCTTGCACATTCTCAAACAATGTCACCACCGAAACCACATCTCGAAACAGAGGTTGCGCACAAGTCTAGCTTGTCCGAGCTCTTAATCCAAATTCTGATGTTGGCATGGAAGCCGAGCCCCCAGCTCCCACACAGTCGGTCAAAGGCTTGCTGCGGAAGCCTCCTGTACCCAATCTGCTCAAACACACCTTGCACTCACACAGGGCTCCAGAAACTCATAAACCCTAAGCCCTGAACCCTAAACCCTGAACCCTAAACCCATAACCCTAAACCTTAAACCCTGAACCCTCAACCCGTGGACAGGATGCTGCCGCGGCTGAGGCAGAGGCAGCGGCAGAAGCGGAAGCCGCAGAGGCGGCCGCTGAGGCGGAAGCTGCAGAGGCGGCTGCAGCGGCGGCCATGACGGCCGAGGAGGAAGCCGAGGCCGGAATTCGATTCTAACACTCAGGTGCTTAATTTTGTTACCTAGTTGCACTATTTTGGGGGGTTCCTCATTATTGGTAGTGTTGTTAAGGCCCCACCTTTAGGGCCTAGGGCTTCTAGCGCGTAGCGTCCGGGAAAAGCTTGAAGGTCGCGCCATTTTTTCAAGCGGTGAAGGTTGTGTTGGAACATGTGGCCTTGTCTTTCCCGACAAGTTGGAGAAGCTACGGTTTGGACACTAAGTCGCCGCACCTATCACATGTTCTTCGCTTGTCTGGCATTCCCTGCGGTATTGATGCAGCACGTTCATCCTGAAAGATAAGCCTTCCAAAACAACTTGCCGAATCAGTTCAGAAGATGTCGACTAATTGGGTTCCACCTTCTACTACCGTGGATGGCTCCGGTTCTAGCAACTTAAGCTTTAGGGTGCCCGTTCAAGCAAAGAGAGGGGTGGTGCTAAACTCGGTCTGCTTTACCTCCTCTGGTCGGCTGCCTCGTCTGTGGGAAATGCCTCCCTCAAGCAGCCCTACAACTTAATTAAGCCCTTGTGTCTGTCTAAGGGCTGAGGGAACTGGGCAAATCAATCTGGTGCATTCAAAACTGGCAAACGGGGCATGCCTCTCCTCACTACAGCTGAAGATGCGAGTTCTCTAGACCGCAAGAGTTTGTCGCGGAGGGTTCTCCGAGATCGGAGACTCTCTTAAAAGTCTTCTGTATCCGATTTAACTTCATCTTACTGAATGCTGCCTTAACGAAACCCTTGAAAAGGACTCTGGAACTTCTGGGCAAAATCCGTCGATACTGGGCAATCCTGGAAAGCCCTTCCCTTAAGTGTGTCTGTACATCAATGTAGAAATCAAAAGCCCCCGCAACTAACAAGCTTGACCCTGCACGCCCTTGTTAAACTAAAAACCCAGGTGGTTCATGGTGGGAATCCCCCTGACTCGGCCTCCCGTATCCACCCCTCAGCCAAACTTATTCCAACTCCGTAGAAAAAGAGGGTTCAACAAGCAAAAAAAAGCCCTAAACCCGAAGAGGCAGTGGCTGCTGCCAAAGCCGCGGAGGCCGCGGCCTTGCTCGAGGCCGAGCTGGCAGAGGCTGAGCGAGTCTCGGAGGAGATGGCCCAGGACACGCGGTGACGGATTTGATAGGGCGTTCAAGGGTATCAAGGTTCAGCAACGTATGGGGTTTCTAACAGCATCTCATAGGCCTTTGAGGGGGCGGTGGGTGGGGTGGGGTTCTAGAGGGTTCATAGAAGGGTGTTGGAGCTTCACTGGTTTTGGAGCACCAGGTCCCTCAAGCCCGAAACTCTAACAGCACAAGGCCCCAAGCCTTAAACCCGGAAATAAGTTCCTCAACCTGAAAACGGCATGCAACTGTAATCGAAGGAGTAAACCTACAACATGCTCCAACAACTCCCGTGGGAAGAGCATCAAAGTGAAGCTCTGTGGGTTGTCATGTGGCCTGCAAAAAGCCACCAGTCTCAAAGAGTGTATTCTGGGGGGGCCTGAATCACTGAAGAGCTTGCCATCGTATTCTCCGGGTCTCCGAATGCATTCAGAATTTAGAGCATAAAGCACCCCGATGTCCTGGTCGTACTACTCAGGCTTCTGTATTCGGGTCGGGTTTAAAGGTGTGGGGCTTCACCTCGTCTGTGAAGTGGTCATGGCAATGAAGCCGGGTCGCATAGTCCAAAACCCATTCTGTTTCGCACCCGCTATGGTCTAAATCTCATACATGAAAGACATGTTGATGAGCTTAAACTCGGGTTTCCTTCTGAGGATACTAGCCACAAGATCCGTACGTTGTGGCAGAAAATGAGGAGCATAAGAGCAACGTCTGGCCCCATTTCAGCTCGCAAGAGGCACACGTGAGAGGCTCTGAATGCCAAGATGCGGCCGCTGTGGAAAGCGAGAAAGTTGAACGACCATTGCTCTTGAGCTCTAAAAACCCCTAAAGGACATTGACTATCCATCTAAGTCCGAGATCATAAATCGTCCAAGGTGGGTCCAGGCAGAATCAACCCTCTGAGACTCTAAGCCTATAGACCCTTAGCATACCCACTGCGTCCTCCNNCCCCCCCCCCCCCCCCCAACAAAAATAAAGCTTGTGAAGCTTTCTGCAGGAGGCTGAGGCGCAGGTCAGCAGCTCAGTGTTTAGTTTGGGCTTTTTGGTTTAGGCCTTGGGGTCTATGGTGTAGGGTTTCGTTTGCAAGGTTGTTCTTACCGGATCACTTGACAACTGGCTTGGCAATGGGGCTCGAAGTCGATGCTGCTCGGGATTGCCGGACCTTGGGTGCAAACGCATTCGGTTCTGAAGGGTGGTGTCTTGCGAAAATACTTTGAAGATGCCAGCAGATCACACCGCTTCTGACGGATTGGAAGAGGGGTTTGAATGTACAAGTAGTATGGGATGGCGAAGTCGGATGCCACCAAGTGCACATTCGGAACTGAGCGTATTACTGAGCGCTCAGGCAACTCAACGTCGCCGAGCCATCGAATAGGGCCAGGAGGAATCCCTTATCGTGTTCTCAGGCTGAATGCAACGTCCTGTAGCTGGCTCACCTCATGAATCCGACAAGGCCCGAATCCCGAACCTCCACAATGAGGCGCAAAGATCCACAGAAGTGGAGCACATGTATGGTCCTTTTGTCTTTTTCTGGTTGGGATCTGCGAACGTAGGGACCTGAATACCGGAAAACGTCCATGTGACTCCAAAATGGGGTTATCATGTCCTCCTATATATTGCGACAGGCTTTATCAGATGCCATGCCATTTCTTTATGTGGAGGTGCCGCATGTTCAGGATCCCGAGGTGCTGTGAAAAAGCAGCAAGCCGCCGTAGATTTTCCGAACCCAACGCCAACTAACTGAATTGGCTTCGCAGTAGATGTCGTATTGAAGACATACCTACCTTCAACGTTGATCAGTTGTGGCAGCCAGGCAGAGCCATCGCCACAGCGGCCGATAGGTCTCGCGCCCGGCCCTCACTGTCGAGTTTGGGATCAGGCTAAGAGTTCGGGGGAGGAAGAAAAGCGCAAGAACTCAGCTCTGCATCTTGCAACTTGAGAACTATACTCTGCTGACCTTGGTGGCGGGCAGACATTTGGATAGATGATTCCGCACAGGACACTGTACCCCAGGGTGTGAAATGAACTTGAGGGGCATGAGCGGGCATGAGTACCTAGTCGTACTATATTTCTCATGTTTCCCAAGTGTTATCATCTTAGTAGAATATAAGATCTCAAGAAACCCTCTTCGAAGATATAAGACCCCTTAGTCTTCTGCGTAAAAATTTGGCGCCTCACGATTTCTGTCTCTGGACAATTCTCGGCGCCTTGCAAGGGTCCAGGGTGTGGTTCCTCTTTCTTCTGGACTCCGATGATGTCCAGCTCTCCTCTGGGCAAATACTTCCGAAACAGAGGAACTGTAGCATCCTCGGCCCCGAACAAGAACTCCAACATCGCCTCTTGGAGGAAGAAAGCCCTGCAGACGCCGCAGCAGCCGGTTCCCCGTGCCCGGCTCTTACTCTTGTATGCTCCTAGAATTCCATCGGGCCGGTGGCTGAACAGACTGGTTTCCATGCTGGTAGTGGTCTTGGCTTTCAGGGGTTTGGGTTAGGGTCCAGGCTTCCAGTTTCCAGGATTACGCGAGCTTTTGGGCCGGAGAGCCAAGGACATACTCCAAAACCTTGCAATAAGTATTAGATTAAGGCCCTATGTTCGATACCGGAAGATGCGCCCCTCAGAGACCAATCCCGGTAATTTTCGGAGCAGGCCCTGACACACCGCAGGGTTTGGCATGCCGAGTCTCGTAAACCCTACATTCCCTACATCCAGTTTAGACAAAGTCAGAGCTAGGCCCATCCATCCCTCATCTCGGAGGCTTTGTGAAGTTCTGAGTTTGACGGACTAGGGTTCTCCGAAGAATGCCCTGGAGACTCGCAGGACGAGCCACTTTGGCTCTGGCTCGACGAGCTGAACGACAAGCTGCAGGCACGCCTAAATCCTAAACTCTGCCAAGCCCTGAACCCAAGAAGGAAATGCCCGCTAAAAGGTAGAACCCCTTAATCCAAAAACGCTCCAAAGCTTAAACACCAAACCCCGAGAACCCAGAACCCAGAACCCAAAATCCTAAGCCCAAAACACCAAAGCCCTAAAGCTAAGCCCCCTACTTCTAAGACCTTACTCAGCACCTTGTGAACCTTCCGATCCCGAAGTTCGCTGCTAGGGCTACTCCCTGGGTGCCGAGACGCTTGCGCTTGCGTCGGATGGCAGCAAAAGGCCGGGTGTTTTTTGTTGGTCTCGGGGGCTTCTGTTGGGCCGGGGGTCTTTCATAAGAGTGTTGTGGTTGCGGGTTTGGGGGTGGAGTTGGAGGATTGCTTGAGGTTTCTGGGGCAGGAGGGTGGGGCTCAGAGGTTTGGGGAGCGGCGGCGGTGGGGAGGGGGGGGGGGATTTCTGTCCCTTCCCACCCCCATCCTTTCGATCCTCAGCTTTGGTTGGGGGTAAGCACAAAACAGCAAGAGTCAGCCTTCTTCACCATGAATGGCCTGATTTCGTGGCCTTTGCACAGAGTAGGAGGTTTGTTGCTTAATGGTTCATCGTGCTTTCCAGCTTTCACCCATGGCCAGCTCCCCAACCCCTGAGCCTTCCATGATGGGAAGCCGCGGGAAGCCGTGCACTCCACATTCATGTTGGACGACAGTGCGCTTCCACGGACTTCCACGCGTATAGTCCCCTTTGCCTTCTAGTATATAAACATAAGTATATAACTGCAACATGTGTCCCAAAAGCCGATAATTGATTCCCCATTTCCTCATAATAAAAACACGTTGGGGCGAATCCTCCCGAGATCTATTCTGGATTAGGGGGAGGGTTTCGAGGCTCCAAATACCCTTAGAGCACAGTAAGAGGAAGAGCAGGAGCAAAAGCAAGAGCAGCAGTTAGAGCAAGAGCAGGAGCAAGAGCACAAGCCGAAGCACAGCAAGAGCAGCAGCAAGAGCAGAGCAAAAACAAGAGCGGGAGCAAGAGCAAGAGCAGGAGCAAACGCCGAAGCAACAGCAAGAGCCGGAGCAAGTGCAAAAGACGCAGCAGAAGCAGGAGCAAACGCCCGCCCGGGAGCAATAGCCAGAGCAGGAGCAACCCCTCAAAAGTGGCAGTAGAGATAGAGATGCCGCATAATAATAGAAATACTTTCAGTTTCTTTTTTGTTGGGGTGGCGAGCCCTCCCCCCTGTTGTTGAATTTTAGGGGGAAACGATTACAAATCATCAAGTAGGCCCCACAACATTGGCATGCCAAATTGCAGTGTAAACATACAGGGCCTGTCTGGGAGCAAACACGCAACTCGGGTGGGGGCCCAAACCAGCGTGCAGAATTCCGTTTTTTCTGATCAGGAAGGGGCTCTACACCCAGGCAGACAAAGCCTTGCAGACGCTGTGCCGGTCTCAATCTGGCTGTGAAGAGTCGTTCCATATTCGCTGGCGGGCCTGCCTTGCCTCTGAACCCCAAAGCCTTCTGTGCTAGGGTTTTATATTTCGCCATATATAACCCCAATAGGAACACAGTGTCGGCTCCCAATTTCAAGGACTAATTACATTGCAGAGACCCTGTTCCAAAATACGGGCCCTAGTAGTGTATCCTGAACCTTATGCCCTCGGCCTTATAAGCCCTAGCATCCGAAACTCTGTGGGATGTCCTGAAAAGCTTCACCTGGGTTGATGTTGGTTTCAGCTTTGGTCTGCGCAGCTTCAGGGTTTCGCGAGGAGGGGCATCGAGCTTAGCATCGCCGAAAGGCCTGGGTATTTTGACGAGGCTGTTGGTGGATATTGGTGAAGAGGATTGCAAGGGGATGCTGTTACGACAAAAGCAGACTCCTTATTTTGGAGTTATGCTGCAGCTTCCCCACGAAGCCTACCTTTACTTCATGCATAGAGGCTTAGAGTTCCACGTGAAGCAAAGAGAGCCAACAGAAGGAAGTACACAGAGTCCTAGGGGTCTCTAGACCCCAGACCGTAACCTCACACCCTAATCCCTAGCATTGGACCCCCCAAAAAAACCCAAACCCCCCAAAACCCTATAAACCCTAAACCCTATAAACCCGAAAAAAGCTAGCAATGACCATTTCCATT